TAAATGGTTTTTTTTTTATCCTGAGGCTATAATAGCCTACTTGAGGACTTCCCAAACACCGCCATTGTGAATGTGTTTGTGAATGCAAAATATGAGTCTCTAATAGTATTGTTATGATTATGATATTCTTCCTAACATATAAATGTATATATTAAAATTGAGTGTTCAAATTAATATGTGCGTATTTTGATTAATTTTAAGATTTTGAAATTAATAATCAAACAAATCTCGAGTGATCACTTAAGGTGACTCAAACTCACAATTTTAAATTTTATTTTCAAATCTTCATATCTTGCAATTTAAAATTTATGAAAAAATTTGTAAAGAGAGAACATAAAAAGAAAGAGATCTATGCAATAATGTACAAATTCACGATCCAAAGAGAGGATGGCAATGGGTTGTGGCTACATAGACGCCATTACACGGGGAGCAACTTTTTGGGATATCAAACTTATTTATCAATTAGTCTTGAGGTGAATTATATCGAGCCGAATTTGTGTTATATAGTAAGAGTATTTGTATTATTTTAAATTTAGTATGATTTAATATTGGATCTAATTTAATTATACTAAGCCCGATCTTAAAATAATTTTTAAATTTTAAAACTCAATAAAATATAAGTTATTATTATTATCTTGAAGGGTTATTAAATCATTTAGACGCTTTTAATAATTATTTGAATTTGAAATATTAACATAATTGATTGTAAAATAAATGTGATTTTTTAACAAATGTTTTAATTTAAGTATTAGAAATATATATATCTTTCTTATCTTTTATTATTTTTCAAATTTATTTTGTAATTAAATAATATATAATCAAAATTTTATAAATGGCTGTAAGGTTAAGCTAAAACTTCTTATCTCAAATCCAATTCAAAATTAAATATTTTTAAAATCTCATCTGAACGTAATCTTATGGTCTGAGGCTTTGTTTGGAAAGTAGGTTTAGTTTTTTGATTTTTTGACTTTTTGACTATTTTAACCTAGGCTAAAAATCTTGGTTTGGAAAGGGTTTTTTGGCTTTTTAGTTTTTTTTTCTTATCTTTTATTATTTTTCAAATTTATTTTGTAATTAAATAATATATAATCAAAATTTTATAAATGGCTGTAAGGTTAAGCTAAAACTTCTTATCTCAAATCCAATTCAAAATTAAATATTTTTAAAATCTCATCTGAACGTAATCTTATGGTCTGAGGCTTCGTTTGGAAAGTAGGTTTAGTTTTTTGATTTTTTGATTTTTTTGACTATTTTAACCTAGGCTAAAAATTTTGGTTTGGAAAGGACTTTTTGGCTTTTTAATTTTTTTGACTTTTTTTGTGAGAGAAGAGTGTAATGATTATGAGTTAAATGTGATATTTTGTTTGTTGTGGCTAAAATAGCCTATTTTATCTTTTGTGGCTAAAATAGCCAAAAAAACCCATAAACCAACTTGCCAAACGGAGGCTAAATATTTTTTTCAAACTCTAAAAATATCATATTGAGGCCTATTTTGGAAAATAGAAAAAAACTAATTTTTTTGATTTTTTTTAAATGTAAAAAAACAAAGAATTATTGTGATTTAAATAAATCAATAAATTAATAAATTAACTTTTTTTACTATTAGTTCTCAAAATAAGTCTGAGTTGGGCGGTCATCAAGCCCATAGCCACCCTTGATCAGCCATGTTCAATTTTGAATGAAAAATTTAATATTATAAAAAATTCGAACAAAAATACAATTCAATTATTTACATTTTACCCATCATATTTCAATCTATACTATATATTAAGTAAAAAGGGGTTTCTAACCCCCAAGGCCTGTGGTAGCTCCAATATGCCAACCCTAATTTTTTAATTTTTTGTTTTTGAAAAAAAAAATTTAACCTCAGTATTTATTAACTTTTCTCAACCCACAAGATTTTTTGACTTCTCTCATAATTACTGCAGTACATTTTTCAAAACAAATAATTTGTATATTAAAAAAAATTTAAAAAAAATATAAATATCTATATCTATATCTATATCTATCTATTTATTTATATCCATCTCTAACCCACAAGTTTTGTGGGAGTTCCAATATCTCAATCTAAATTTCTTAATTTTTTGATTTAAAAAAAAAAAACCTTAACATTTATTAATTTCTCACAACCCCAAGCCTTACCCCTTATAATAACACTTTAATGCATTAAGAATAAGTTATAAAAAAAATTCTTGAAAAGTTTCAACACATATGAATTCCTTAAAAAGTCCCAACAATATAATTATTATCCTTCATAATAACACTTTAATGCATTAAGAACAAGCATAAAAAAAATTTCTTGAAAAGATACAACACATATGATTCTTATCAAAATATTAAACTTTAATATAATATTAAAAAACAAGACATTTAATTCATTGAAAAGTACAACACATATGATTATTATCAAAATATTAAATTTTAATATAATATAAAAAAGAAAAAAAAAGAAGACATTTAAAAATCACAATTGACATATATATCCCCTTATCAGCATTTATGCATTTTTTCAATCCACGTGTCTTTCTACGTGCTTGCATTTATTGATTTGGTCAAAATTCTCTAATTAACATTTAAAATTCCTTCATACAGATAATTATAGATACAACCCGTGCATAATTACTGCAGTACCCTTTTCAACTTCTCCCATACACTATGGTTAGTGATAAGATTGTTAAATTATTTTTATAAAAAATCTTAAAAAACATAATTTATTATATTAAAAAAAATCTAAAACAAATACAAATATCTATAATTATTCCGTGCATAACACGGGTGATAGGTTAGTATCTATATTAACGAAAAAGGGATTTCCAACCCCCGTCTTGTGGGAGCTCCAATATCCCAATCTAAATTTCCTGATTTTTTGATTTAAAAAAAAAAAAAACTTTAGCATTTATTAACTTCTCTCAACCCTCAAGCCTTTACTCTCATTAATAACACTTTAATGCATTAAGAACAAGCATACAAAAAATTCCTTAAAAAGTCACATATGAATTCCTTGAAAAGTCCTAACATATATTATTATTATCCCTCATAATAACACTTTAATGCATTAAGAACAAGCATAAAAAAAAAAATTCATTGAAAAGTTCCAACACATATGATTATTATCAAATATTAAACTTTAATTATATATATAAAAAGAAGATATATTTTAATTCCTTAAAAAGTCCAACACATATGATTATTATCAAAATATTAAACTTTAATATAATATAAAAAGAAAAAAAAGAAGACATTTAAAAAAAAAAGACATTTAAAAATTACAATTTACATATACAGATAATTATAAATACAACCCGTGCATAGCACGGGTGATATGCTAGTACAAATTAATACAAATAAACTCAAAATAAATTATCTATTACTTTGATAAATTTATGAATGTCATTACTAATATTAAATGATCAATTTCATAAAAACAAAATACATTAAGGCCTAGTTTGGGAAAATTAAAAAAAGACAAAAAGTCAAAAAATCACTATCCTATTTAAGTCACATCATCTTATTTAAGTCACATCACCTCTCTAATACATCACTTCAAACCCAACCCAAACCCAATCCATATTTCATAAAAAGTCAAAAAGTACACTTATTTAGTCTTCCCAAACTAGGCCTTTGTTTAAAAAAAATTTTCATTATAAAAACAAAAGACAAATACATTAAAAAAAAAAAATCCTAATTTTTTTGGTCTGTTACTCTCTCTCTCTCTGTAGCTGTAGCGTTCGTTATATTTCGCTATCCCTGAGTTGCCTCAGATTTCTTCTACTACTACAAATCTTCAAAGATGGTGAAGATTATTGACAAAATATTGATCAGAGTCGTTCAGAAAAGGTCATAAATTTGACTCTAATTTTGTTTTGTTTTTTTGCCCTTTCTTTTCTGTTTTATACAAAATCGAAAGCATTTGTCCCAAAATAAAAATAAAAAATGAATATATGAATTTGTCATCATCTGGGGGTTGCTGTAACAGTTGAAGCCGGTCTGAATTTATGAAGGATGGCTGGTGGGTTGCAGCTAGATAGACGCCATTGTGGTATTACATGTATTAATTAATATATGTATTAATATATTAATTAGTGTTATGTTATTATACTAACTTCACTTATTATATAAATTATAAATATTCAAAATGTTTAAAATTATGTCATCTTATTTATTAGTATACTAATAAATACATATAATATTATTCTAGACGCCATTATCAGGCGATCAACTTTTTGGGGTATCAAATATATTTATCAAGAAAAATGTTTGGTGGCTTGAATTTGAATAACTCGAATTTGAGTGGTCCAAATGACTCGAATGTATCAAAATAATGTTATTTTATTTCCAAAATAACGTTGTCTTGACACATTCGAACTATTTGAGTCATGAATTTTTGAGCTACCAAGCATTACTGTATTTATCAATTAGTCTTCAGGTGAACAATATCAGGCCGAATTTGTATTGTAAAGTAAGAGTATTTATATTATTTTAAGTTTGGTCTAATTTAACATTAAATCTAATTTAATTATTCTAAGCTCAACCTTAAAATGATTTTTAAATTTTAAATTCGCCCATATAAATTAAAACTCAATAAAATAAAATATAAGTTATTATTATCTTGAAGAGCTATTAAATTATTTATAGGCTTTTAATAATTACTCAAACTTGAAACATTAACAGAATTGCATTGTAAAATAAATATAATTTTTTAACAAATGTTTTAATTTAAGAATTAGAAAACATATATCTTTCTTAACTTTTATTACTTTTTAAATTTATTTTGTAATTAAATAATATAAAATCAAAATTTTATAAATGGCTGAATCAAGGCTAAGCTAAAATCAAAAATTAAATATTTTTAAAATCTCATCTCAATCAAATCTTATAGTCTAAATATTTTTTCCCCAAACTCTAAAAATAACATATTGAATTGGGCGGGCTATCGGCCCATAACACCCTTGATTAGTCTTATAATCAAGTACATAACAAGAATAATTTTTTGGTCTGTTACTCTCTCTCTCTCTCTCTCTCTCTCTCTCCAGCTATGGCGTTCGTTATATTTAGCTGTCCCTGAGTTACTTCAGATTTCTACTACTACAAATCTTCAAAGATGGTGAAGATTATTGATAAAATATAGATCAGAGTCGCTTAGAAAAGGTCATAAATTTGTTTTTTTTTCCTTTTTCTTTTCGGTTTTAAACAAAATAAAAACGTTTGTCCCAAAAAAAAAAAAATGAATCTTTGAATTTGTCATCATCTGGGGGTTGCTCTAACAGTTGAAGCCGGCCTGGATTTGCCAAGATTTATATAATTTTATGTAATCTTTAGTGTTTGACAACTCTGAAATGGTTACATCAGATTCGCCTTTCTCTTGCCTCTTTCAGATTCAAATCTGAGTCTCTCTTTCTATTGGAGCTCTCACGATCGCAAAGGTGCCCTCTTTTCTCTTCTTTTTTCGGTTCTCTTTAATGGGTATTTGATAGTTTTTGTGCTTGTGTTTTGAGTACTTCGAATTTCTGTGTTGTTCCCCAGATTTTCCAGTTCTTTAGTATTCAAACCCTACTTTCTTTTGGTTCTCTCATTTCAAATCTGAGTCTCTCTTTATTGGAACTCCCATGATCTCAAAGGTGCCCTCTTTTCTCTTCTTTCTTCACTTCTCTTTAATGGGTATTTGATAGTTTTTGTGCTTTTGTTTTGGATACTGCGAGTTTCTGTGCTGTAGTTGTTGTATAAAAAAATTCTAGATGTCCAATTAAACTGAGATTGAAGAACCCACTGTAATTTCCAGGTTTTCGATGATGGGTTGTGGAAATTTTGAATTTTTGATTTGGGTGTCATTCATATTGTCTTTGTTCTGGTTTTCTACTGGATTTACTCCTGCAGACCAACACTTTATAGATTGTGGTTCACCCACCAACACTACAGTGGGTGTTCGTGTTTTCATATCCGATACCTCGGCCTCAAACTTCCTTTCAACCCCACAAAATATATTGGTCAATACCTCTTCAAATTCTATCACTTTAACCGATGATTCACAGCTCTACAAGACGGCGAGGGTATTTACCAAATCCTCCAAGTACACTTTTCCTATCAGCCAGAGCGGGCGACACTGGATTCGCCTCTATTTCTTCCCTTTCGTTTACAAGAATTACAATTTGAGCACGGCCAATTTCTCTGTATCTGCCCAAAATTATCTACTCCTTGGCAATTTTAATCCGGAAGGTGTTTCTGTCAAAGAATTCTCAGTAAATGTGACATCAAGTACTCTTGTAATCACCTTTACACCGGTCAACAACAATTCATTGGCATTCTTGAATGCCTTGGAAGTTGTTTCAGTCCCTGATTCGCTCATCACCGATGATGCTACTTCAGTTAACCCTACAGGTAAATTCCAGGGTTTGTTCACACAGGCATTGGAGACGGTTTTTAGGGTGAATATGGGTGGACCGTCTGTCTCATTTGAAAACGATACGCTTTGGCGAACCTGGGTTCCTGATCAAGGTTTCTTAGTATTGCAGAATGTTGCTAGAAACTATTCAGCGATCCCAGCTGTTAAGTATCCCGCAGGTGGAGCTACCCCTGATATTGCTCCTGCTACTGTTTATGGTACTTGCACTGAAATGAACTCACTCAGTGATCCCAATAGCAATTTCAACGTCACATGGGAGTTCACTGTGGATCCAGGGTTTCAATACCTTGTTCGGTTTCACTTTTGTGATATAGTGAGTACATCTCCCTACTCGCTCTACTTCAATGTTTATATTGATTCATGGCTTGTTGCTCCAGACTTGGATCTGAGTACTATAAACCTTGGAATTCTGGCCACTGCATATTATATGGATTTTGTCACGAGTTCAAATGATAACAGTAAGCTTCGCATTAGTATTGGACCGTCTTCTGTTTCAAAAACTTACCCAAACGCCATTCTAAATGGACTAGAGATTATGAAGATGAATAATTCTTTGGGCAGCCTCAGTGGGGTGGTGTCCATGGTGTCTTCCTCAACAAACACCAAGAATAACGTGGGCATGTTGGTGGGTTTGATCGTTGGTGCATTTGTTGCTGTGGTTTTGGCTGCTGTTCTCTTTTTAGTATGCAGAAGAAGAAAACGGGCAAGTCTCGGCCACTCAAAGACGTGGGGTCCTTTCTCCATCAATGGAGGAACTTCACTCACCATGGGAAGTAAATACTCTAATGGAACAACCCTTAGTGCCGGTTCTAACTTTGGATATCGCTTTCCTTTTGTTGCAGTTCAAGAGGCTACTAATAACTTTGACGAGAGTTGGGTTATTGGAATTGGTGGTTTCGGGAAGGTTTACAAGGGTGCTCTAAATGATGGTACGCAAGTGGCTGTTAAGAGGGGTAATCCCCGGTCCCAACAAGGTCTTGCTGAATTCCGAACTGAAATTGAGATGCTATCTCAATTCCGGCACCGCCATTTGGTTTCCTTGATTGGGTACTGTGACGAGAAAAACGAGATGATTTTGATTTATGAATATATGGAGAATGGGACCCTCAAGAGTCATCTCTATGGCTCAAATCAACCAAGCTTGAGTTGGAAGGAGAGGCTTGAGATATGCATTGGAGCAGCGAGGGGACTTCACTATCTCCATACTGGCTATTCGAAAGCAGTTATCCATCGTGATGTAAAGTCTGCAAACATATTGCTGGATGAGAATCTTATGGCTAAAGTTGCCGATTTTGGGCTTTCAAAGACAGGACCGGAAATTGATCAGACCCACGTGAGTACGGCAGTGAAAGGGAGTTTTGGGTACCTTGACCCCGAGTATTTCAGAAGGCAACAGTTGACAGAGAAATCCGATGTGTATTCATTTGGGGTTGTTTTGCTTGAAGTTCTCTGTGCAAGGCCTGTAATCGATCCATCTCGTCCGAGAGAGATGGTGAACTTAGCAGAATGGGCGATGAAGTGGCAAAAGACCGGCCAGTTGGACCAGATTATAGATCCCAACCTCGCAGGAAAAATAAAACCGGATTCTCTCAGAAAGTTCGGAGAAACGGCAGAGAAATGCTTGGCTGAATTCGGGGTTGACAGGCCTCCTATGGGAGATGTCTTGTGGAATCTGGAGTACGCGCTTCAACTTCACGAGGCAGTTCTTCAAAATGATCCCGAAGAGAACAGTACTAATGTCATCGGTGAGCTCTCACCGCAAATCAACAATTTTGATCATGCTGACAGTAGTACTGTTTCAGCTGCTCAGTTTGAAGTGTCGAGCATGGACGATGATCTTTCAGGTATTTCAATGAGTAGGGTGTTCTCACAGCTAGTTAAATCTGAGGGTCGATGACAAAAGTCTAGATTGTGAGTAACATTGGCCTTACCTCTGCTCACCTCATTGGGGTACAAAAGGGTATTTCTTTATTTTGTTGCAAGAAAAGCGATAGAACACAATCACTCTGTTTGGTTTCATTTTTTAGAATATGTTCTGTGGCAAAGTATTGGAAGCACACCAGCGTGTGGCTTCCCACAAATCGTCGTTGAATGAAAACAAGAGGGATTGTGACCACATTCTATGGCTTTTATTCATAGTTGAAAGTAGTTTTTAAATCGAACTCAAATCCATTGTGGGGTGTCCTTGGAGATTAAATTGTATGGAGCATTGTGAGTTTATGTTTTGCACAAAAGTGGGGAGGTTAGAGTGAGTTGCCAAATTTTCTGCTGGCGTTTGGTAAAGATGTTGCATTTTATATTTCATTAATTTGGTTGTTGCTGTTTCTTTTTATATCTACAAATGGTTTTAACTTTTGAGTTTCAAGGCATCTTCAGTTTCTGCTTGTCTTTCATGTGTGGCCTCTTGTTGATTTCTATTTTTTTCCTTCTTCATTCATGTGTGGCTCTTTTTGATCAGTAACTCTAGTTTATGGTAAATGATCTAATTGACTTCATGTTTGACAAATGGTTCCTCATCTCTTTTCCATGTCTATTTGGTCAACTACCAATGAATCAAAAATAGCAAGCCTGTTCGGTTGTGCGTTCGGAAACAAAATAATGAAAATGTCCGTTGTTTTCATATCTTTTTGCTTTTGTTGCGCAAAAATAGCTTTTCAAAATTCAAAATTTAAAAATAACTTTTTGGTGTAATCTAAAAACTCGGCGGCTTTAAGAGCGTTTTTTTTTTTTTTTTCAAAAATAGTTTTTAAAAACAGTTTGCCAAACGAGTACATTCTTAGGTATTGTATGTCTAGACTCCATCTTGGGCGGGCTTGAACCCTTTGCAGGCATTCAAACTGGTTGGTGGCTCGTTGTCTTGGGATCCCACAATGAAGCCTATGCTAATTTAGGGTTGCATTATATTGTTTAGATTGATTTAATGATTACTTCAAATTGTCATCAAATTTAAATTTGATAAAAAATAAATTCTTTTCCTACTCTAATGGTTTTGTCAAATACGTATTAAATTCAGAATTTCATTTTTTTTTTTCATCAAACTAAGGATTAATGTACTTTTCATCAAATTACTGTTCATTGCCGTTGGATTTTTACCATCGAATGTCTTTCGGATGACTATCTCAAGGCAAAAATTTGTGAAAAAATTACATTAGCCGATCGATTGGCCAGTTGTCTGCCCTGGTTGACTGATAGTTTGATGAAATTACAAAACCCTCCTTTGAAGTACTTGATAATAAAAAAAAAATTTACTCAAATTTAACAAAAAAATTAATATATGGTTGGGGGTGTCCTTACATGTTATTACTGGGTACATGTTGTATGTTATGCATTTTATATTGCTAGAATCTTTATGCTTAGGGTTTCCATGCAATTATTGGATTTGTTTCGAGTTTCAACAAAGGTGCTTGAAATTCTTTGACAAGAATGGTTTCTTGAATAACAAGCAGGGTGCCAAGGATGATTTATTGTATTTTTTTTTGAGCAAAATTCATTTGACCTCCAATCTTTATGTATATCTAACTCCAACTACATTTACAATTTTTTATTTTTATTTTTTATATTCTAAGTTGTAATTTACAATGCATCAAAATATATTAATAGTTAATAAAAACAAAGATACTTAAAAGATTTTTCAATTGCCTTATATTTTTATCACTTATTTTATATTTATTTAGTCAAAGTAAATAATATTTTATTAAATTTAGGCCTCGTTTGAGAACATATTATTTTAGTAATTTTTTAATTTTTTATAAAAAAAATGTACAAAAAAGTAGAAAGAGTGATATGATAACTTATAGTGACTTTTTAACTAAAATATAAAGTTGACAAACGAGATTTTAATATGAAAAGTTGCATTTGAGTAGGTAGAATAGCTCTACAAATAATACATTGGTATTGAAAAGTTATCTTGAAAATTGAAGGGCACTCGGTCCATAAGCCCAAATATCAATTTTATTTGGCTAAAGATCTAGGCACTTAAATATTTTGTCCAAAAGGCCAAATTTAAACAAGATGACCAAAATATCCCTTATATATATATATATATATCTATTATTTTCTAAATAACCCTAAGGGTTTGTTAAACTTTTTACTCCTGAATTATTATCAAGTTCTCTATTTAGTTCTTGAACTATCAATTGAATTTATTTAATCCCTAAACTATCATCAAATTCTTTATTTAGTCCCTAAAGTATATAAGTCAAAGTCTATTTAGTTCCTAAACTAGGGGTGAGTAGCGGATATTCCGATTCGTCTAAAATTGACCGAACCGATCCACCGCATTTTGAACGGATGCGTGATAACGAACAAACGTTTGCATATTGATTTTTTTCAATTCGCCTAGTTTCGGATGGATGACAGATTTGAGGTTATTTTGGCTGCAACCGAACCGCCAAACTGTGACCACCCCTAATAATTTGTAAGATTTTGTATTTTCAATATTTTTAGATATTATATTTGTATTTTCAATTGAAAAAAATTTAAATATTCTGTTGTGTTTTCATTTTGTTTTTAATTTAAAAATCCTTTTACCAAATGATAAGTGTTAATATTTGACATTTTTGTGTGGAAAATATAAGACTTAATTTTTTTTTTCATTTTTTCAAAAATAAAATTAAATCATTTTTGAATATAAAAAAAATAATGAAATAATTTTGATAATGCATGATTTCTTTATATGTATTTATTATTGGTATTTGATAATTTACTTGATAATCTTTTAGTTATTTTGAGTTGGATTGTTATCCAAAAAAAAAAATGTTGATAAGTTGTTAAATTATGTTCAAAATTTGTAAAAGTTTAAACCGCCAAACCGATTTGCATTAATCCGCTCAATTCGCATCCGTCAATCCGGCAGACAGATGCAGATTTATTTTTTCCAATCCGCCAATTCGACGGACGGATGACGTATTAGAGATTTCCCGGCTGCAACCGAACTGTGAACACCCCTATCCTAAACTATTAACTGAATCTATTAAGTCCCTAAAATATTTAATTCAAACCTATTAAGTCCCTAAAAGGATTACAAAAATAAAATATATACACATACGTATTATAAATTAGTAAAACACCATATTTAGTTAAAATTTTATTTAAAAAAAACCTTAAACTTTTATTCTGTCCTTGAAAAGTGGGCGCCAATCCATATATTGAATTTCCTTTATAAGAATAATGGTACCTATTTATAGTATTTGTTTTTTTAAATTTATCTTTTACAATAGATACGTGCTTGCCTTAATATCTAGTGTTATATGTCAGATTTCGTTTATAATTTCTAATTGATTGTTTTTAAGTTTTTTGCTAAGTTCTTTTTATTACTTAATTAATGTATTATTTTTTATATTATTATTTATAAAGAAGTGTTATTATTTAAATTATCTGATTCTACTTTTTCAATATATCTAATATTCATATAATCGATTGGTAAGATTGAAAAATCAGACTCTAATATTAATTTAAACGCACAACGAAATAAAATATCTTTTAAAGACGAAATAAAATTTTAAAAGATTTTTCTGTAATAAAATCTTAATTGGAGAGGGTTTTTTTACTAATTTATAATACGTATGGGCATATATTTTATTTTTGTAATCCTTTTAGAGACTAAATGAGTTTGAATTAAATATTTTAGGGACTTAATAGATTCAATCGCTAGTTTAGGGACTAAATAGACTTTGATTTATATACTTTAGGGACTAAATAGAGAATTTGATGATAGTTAAGGGACTAAATAGATTCAATTGATAGTTTAGGAACTCAACAAAGAATTTGATAATAGTTTAGGGGTAGAAAGTGTAATAAACCCTAACCCTAACAGAAGTTAACACATTTCTCTCTTCTCTTTCTCCTCAGTCGCCGATACCACCGCACCGCCTTGTCTCTCCCTTTACTGTTTCGCACCACGGGCGAGTGGTGCAATACCAGATTTATGTGGAAGATGAGGATGAAGCTGCAATCATGCTAATCGGAGTACCAGCTCGCCTCACCAGCAACTAAATCCATTCAAACCTACCTTTCACGGGCAATTGGAGCACCAATTCACCTCTTTCTTGGTCACTGCCATCGAAATCCACTCAGTCCTGGCCTTTCTTTCTTCTTTCTATTGTCTAGTCTCGCCGTCACTAGCATTTTCTCTTCCCCCGCACAATCGTCACGACCGCCGACACATATTTGAGATCATCGGCTACACAGATCTCAAATTTGTGATTAAGGTCTGTTACTCCTTTCTTTGTCCAAATTTGACCCTTCGAATGTGTTTTCATCCATCGCTCTTCTCTCTCTCAACCAAGTTTGCCCCATCCACTCTCTCTCTCTCTCTCTCTCTCTCATATCTAATCTTTTTGCTCATTCTATATTTGGTCGAAACCCATTTTACACTTTAGTCTAAGATTAGATTTTGATTTTTGGCTACATAAACATATGTGTGTGTGTGTGTGTGTGTGCGTGTGCGTATGTGTGTGTGCATGTGCGTGTGCGTGTGTGTGTATGTATGCTTGTAGTGTATAGAAGTAGATTAGTAGAGGTGATAAATCGATTTTAGATTCATTTTAGAGTCAAGGGCAAGTTAGCACCTCGGTACATTGGGCTATATGCGATCATTGAGAAGATTAATCCGATAGTGTACCAAGTGGCTCTTCCTCCCACTATGGAGCATATGCATAACGTGTTTAATGTTTCAATGTTACAGGCTTATCTCCAGGATCCTTTTCATGTCATTGAGCCTATCCACGTACTTTTGAGTGATGATTATATGTAGGAAGAATCGGCCTATTCAAATTGTTAACTGACGGATCAAAAAGTTGAGAAATAAGGAAATCTCGTTAGTGACAAAATTGAGCCTGCCTTGTTGGCTGCACGTGCGGTGGCCTTGGCCACTTATGCGGTGGCCTTGATCGCACTAGCGAGTAGAATGCAATTATGAGCAGAGGAGGGTTGGCCGCTCATGCGGTGGCCCAGGCCCCTTGAGCGGTCTGGGTTAAAATGCAGTCTGGATTTTTGCTGAAAACGGAACTTTCTCCCTTTTCAAAATCAACTTCAATTTCATGAAAATCAAGGCCCAAAATTCACAAAAACAACTTGAATTTTACATTTCTAACTTCAAACAAAGGTCATGCTCTATCACAAAACTCAAATCCCTTAGTAAAGAACCAGTTCTTGAACTAAAGTGCAAAACCCTCTAAATATGTATATATATGAGTTCAAATCTTAACATCCATGGAGTTTTCCTCCAAAGTTGAAGAATCGTGAAAGAAGTATTGGGTAAAACAAGAATTTGATGAAATCATGCCATGTATGTTGCTATCTAGAGCTAAGTCTCGCAATTTCTCTCTTTAATGTTCATAAAGGTTCACAACTCTACAACAACCATGATTTCCTCCTAATTAGGCTTA